TATTTTGAAGATGAGAGAGAGACAGAGCATGACGGAGGGAGGGCAGAGACACAGAGATGGAAGCAGGCTCCAGGCTTTGAGCCATCAGCCCAAGAACCCGGCCAGGCTCGAACTCACAGACTGAGAGATCGTGACCTGAGCCGAAGTCGGACGCTCAACCGACTGAGCCACCCAGGCACCCCAACTTTCACTTTCTATACTGCTTGACATCCACCCCCAAATAGATTATAATTCTGTGACATTTTTTAAACTAATAAAAACATTTCCAACTTCCTTTTTTAAAAAAGTTAAATTCAAGGGCGCCTGGGTGGCGCAGTCGGTTAAGCGTCCGACTTCAGCCAGGTCACGATCTGCAAACTGATCGTGAGTTGAGGCAGCCCCGCGTCGGGCTCTGGGCTGATGGCTCAGAGCCTGGAGCCTGTTTCCGATTCTGTGTCTCCCTCTCTCTCTGCCCCTCCCCCGTTCATGCTCTGTCTCTCTCTGTCCCAAAAATAAATAAACGTTAAAATTGTAAAAAAAAAAAAAAAAAGTTAAATTCAATAGAACAAATTTTTCAAAATTCTATCTTGAACTTAACCTTTATACAGAAAAACAGTTGGAAAACTACCTATGTTTTTTTTGAATACATACGGTTTTTTACTGCAGACATGATACATGACATGCCCTTAGTGCCCATAAGTTCAGAGCTGAACCGCTGGTTGAGAGAAGTTGCCAAGGAGGGAAAAAATGCCTTGAAGGATCTAAGAGGCAAAGAAGTTCACTTAGAATTCAGGTTAGCATCTGTGTGATAATAATTATTTTTTAACCTCTCCACAGGATCATTTCCTCATTGAGACAGATGTATTGTTGAGCATATCAGAAGCTAACATTTAAGAACCTACATTTCTATGTTGAGCCTCTTTACATTCAGTATCAAAAAAAAAAAAAAAAAGTTAAATTCAATAGAGGTGAACAAATTTTCAAAATTCTATCTTGAACTTAACCTTTATACAGAAAAACAGTTGGAAAACTACTATGTTTTGAATACATACGGTTTTTACTGCAGACATGATACATTGCCCATAGTGCCCAGAGCTGAACCGCTGGTTGAGAGAAGTTGCCAAGGAGTGGGAAAAATGCCTTGAAGGATCTAAAGAGGCACAAAGAAGTTCACTTAGAATTCAGGTTAGCATCTGTGATACAATAATTATTTTTAACCTCTCCACAGGATCATTTCCTCATTGAGACAGATGTATTGTTGAGCATATATCAGAAGCTAACATTTAAGAACCTACATTCTATGTTAGACACTCTTTACATTCAGTATCTCATTTCATCCTCAATCTTGCACACAATAAGCCTCATTTTACAGAGGAGTAAAACTGAGTCTCAGAGATCTTCTAAAAGTGATTTTCCCAAAATCACAAAGTAACAGGATTTGAACATAAGGCTATCTGACTATATTTTATCACTGTACCATGGTCTCTACATAGTGAGTACAATGAGGACAAGCTTTAAGAAAAGTACTGCTCCATCACGAGATTACCTGTAGGTCACCAACGCTGTCATCTTACAACTTGAACTTGGCCAATTCTGGATGGTTGCATACTATACAAAAAGAGAAACCAGGATTCTAGTATTGTATTCCATCCTTTTTAAAAGGTCATAATAGGGGCGCCTGGGTGGCGCAGTCGGTTAAGCGTCCGACTTCAGCCAGGTCACGATCTCGCGGTCCGTGAGTTCGAGCCCCGCGTCACGCTCTGGGCTGATGGCTCGGAGCCTGGAGCCTGTTTCCAATTCTGTGTCTCCCTCTCTCTCTGCCCCTCCCCCGTTCATGCTCTGTCTCTCTCTGTCCCAAAAATAAATAAACGTTGAAAAAAAAAAAATTTAAAAGGTCATAATAGGCTGTTTCATGCCATTTATAATTACATATATATGAAAAAACAAATCTTCAAAATATGGGAATGATCACCCAAATTAAGGTATACCTACCTGCCAAAATATGAAGTAGATAACCATTAAATATGTAAAATAGGAACAAAGTCATGTGGAAAACAGTGCAATAAGAGGGGGCTTCTGAGTAAAGATGCAGGACTTGGCATGCATCCATTCCTTTCCTAAATCCCATGAATGGTTTAAAATAAAAGAAGGCAACCAAACAAGAACAAAGCAGAAAGAAAATGGTGAGTGATTTAGTAGATCTAGCACTGGAGAAGATTAAAAAATGAACCAGTTTGAACAGAACTCCTAGACATAAAAATCTGGCACACCGAGTACTTTAGGAAGTGAGATTAGAGGTGGGGTTAAAAACAAGAGGAATGATCGAAAGTACCGAAGAATCAAGACTCCCATATCTCCTTTCCACCACTAATAAAAATTTCTGGACTGGGCAACCTTGTGAACAATTAAGGGTTGAAGTACCATGTTAAAAACAGGGATGAAGTGAAAATCTAAATGATAAATGCTGAGAGTCCCTTGCTCTCAACTCTCTTCCTCTAGTGGGATTTCAGACCATTGGAACCAAGCTTATCATTTTCAGTCAGGAGAACAGAAGATTCTTCTTGAGGAAAATTCCAACCAGTTCAGGACAGAAGATCTAATGACAATGACAGTGACTAATACAGATCACGCTAGGTGAGGCCCACAGTTGACAAGTTCCAACCATCTGCACCTAGCTTCCAAACAACTCCACTCTTAAATATGACTGGACAGCTGAAGATCTCCATATACTTTAAGAAAGTCTGTAACATAAACGATAAAAATAGGGTGAAAAAGCAACTTGCAGAAAACAGAAACCTTGAAGGAAGAGGAAAACTTAAAAAAACAAAACAAAAGCAAAACCCAAACTAATCATTACTACCTTTAAAGAGATAATAGATACAGCAACCATGGGAAAAGAGTAAGATATTATATGAAAAAGAAGCACTCAAGAGAACAAAAGAGAGTTCTTGAAAATTAAAATAGAAATATATAAATACAAATATATAACTATACATAATACATAAAAACACATTATAAGCTATAAAAATAAATAAATATACTGTGGTACCTGGGTGGCTCAGTCAGTTAAGTGTCCAGCTCTTGATTTTGG